TTTTTTTGGACCTTAAATTCTGTTCTATGTTCGTTTGGTCAAGTGTAGATGTAAGCGATTTTCTGCCTCATATATTATGATTCAGGCCATTCCAAATTTGCACAACCGGGCCAAGTTGGGCACTCAAGGCATGAACTACTCACTTCAGTAAGCAGATGTGCTGTTTCTACTATTGCAACTGTGTAGATGCTTTCGAACACTGTCCCATTTAGTGATACTTTTTATAACTGCAAAAATGGCCATCAGTTTTTCGACGCACTCAACGGGTCCCATATAATTGCCGCTTCAGAAGTCAAAAAGGTGGGTCGTTTTCGTAATATAGGTTCTTTTGTTGCGCTGAAAACTCGTAAGACGACTGAAATATCGAGAGTTCGACCATTTCAACGGTTCTTCTGCCAAACATCATGTGTTGCGGCAGTCATGCTAGAATTTTTTCTTAGCATCAACACTGCTCGATCTGGTGGTCCGCTATCCTTGTCTAACGTCGACACTTCGATACCGAATATCCCCATGCTATGTTTCAATTTCGCTGTTCCTCAGGATGCGATGGACCTTTAGCTCATTATGGGACTACCTACATATACTCACTTGTCTAAACTTCGAAGCTGTCTCGGTGGTTGTCTTGTCAATTCAGCAGATTTCCATTTCATTGCAGGCGCTTCTTATGCCCTCATCAAACGAAAGTCATACAAGTGATTATTCTGATGTCCTCCTTGCAGTTTTACCCCTACGCCTTCAGCCACAGGTTCATTCTATCGTAATCACCTCATCAGAGTGAATCAGCCGTTTATGATTCTTGCCTTTCCTCCTCCTCATTTCGCCAAAGGTCATACTTGGCTCCATCGCTATCCCATACACCTTACCTTTGACGTTTTCACGGGCATAGTACTGGGCACTGACGACTAGAATATGAGATTTCCACCCTCTCTTTTTTGATGTCAGTCGTTATCTTTCCAGGAATTCCAGCTCCTACAACGAGGAGAGGACCTTGCCCTTGAACTACTGGAGAATGACGTGTCTCCTAGTCATATTAAAGAGACAATGAAACCATATCTCAACGAATTACGAGTAAGTTTGTACAATGTTCTTAGCGCTAGCGCTGGCCCAGATTATGCTCACAACCTTGAGCGGTGAACTTTTCCTGAATTTCTTTGGATTCAAATTGAAATTAACACCTCCATCCATCAGGTACATAACTATGGTAACTTTTTGGACGTCCGTAATTCCCTCGCATGGAAGGTTTCTCCAAATCTGCTTTCCCCGTCATGTTCATGATATACCTCAGCTCACATATCTACTTTTGTGCTCGCAATTCGTCAGATTTCGAAAAACAGTGGAGCCTCGCAGACATCCAGCAACCGCTCCGTTGGCGAATTCTTTTCTGGGATCACTCCTCGTTTCAATAATTACCACATGACAGTCTCTTAAAGCGCTATGCGTAGACAGGTCAACGACAAACCTCGAAACGGTCGTCTTGTCTCACATGGGAAGGAGTACGCTGCAGAACCTGCAGATGCCTGAGAAAAATGACTGCTGGTTTGTTTGTACGTTCTACTTCGATGAAAAGAGTCTACCCAAGTAAATACATTGTATCAGATAGGATTCGAAAGCCTTAAAAGCTTCTGAAGGAGAAGAAGTTGGAGAGAAAAAACAAATGCCGTGTGCCACTGCGCGCGGCACGCATTTCGACACACTTTTCTTGATAAAAGGGGGTTCAGCATTAAAGAAATGTTGAGATCCCAGAGTACACGTATATTTTACACTACGAGTGCTGAAGCTGCTGAGACAAGTTAGATCGCTTCTCGTAGCCATTTTCACTTTTTCATGATGGTTTGGGCTAGAATCCTTACCACCACAGCGTTGCCGATTTTGGTCGAAAAAATACAAAAATTTAATCCGAACCTTTTCGAGTTGAGTTTTTCTGACAGGATGCATCTGAAGGTCAAGGATTTGTCTAGGAGTACGGTTTGAAAACTACGGCACATTCGCTCACGAATGGAAAAAGATCAAGACTGGTGCTGAGGAACTGTTCGCGACTTATCCCAACTTCCAATCCTTTACAAATTTCCCGGACTTCAATGTGATGGGCCTCTGGATACAGTCCATACCGGAGGGGAAAGCCTGCGCTTCAAAATGCACTCCTGTTGCTGCTCCTAAGAAATCTTCGAAAAAAGTCCGGGCATAAGTTTTTCGAAAAACTCTGCGTGCCACTGTCGATGAGTAGCCGAAGGGTCTTCGAGCCATAATTATTAGAGGAGACGCTTATATAAGATGATCGTGTTTTCGTTTTGTAGATGTGATGCATAGTAAATAACACACATGAATTCACCATGTACCAATATGAACTGTGGTTTTTGTAGCACAATTTGTTTGTCACCATATTTATGGCGCAACCTGTGTTAAGGGACTTTTGACGAAAGACGAATAATGATAGCGACCCTAGTTTGCCTGTTTGATCACTGCCAGACAGCAAACGGCGTGACCATCGTGTAACGCCTCTCGTTCCGAATATACCAATATATTGTGAAAGAGACAAGTCTAAACAAAGTGTGCGAATGAAATTTTTTGTAAGTTCATGCTCCCCAGTCATGGGGGAAAATGTGGTTGGATATCAACTTAATCGATAGCGGAGTGCTGAAGGACAGCCCAACCTAGTAAGTGGAGCCCATAGCATGTATCCTACTTATATAATCGGCTAAGTGTGTCTGTTGGTGTGTTTGTGTGTGTATGTGTGTGTGTCTGACCGGTTTATGAGAAATAAATGCTTGAGTGAAAATTCGGAACTCATGTCCCCGTAATCCTAAAGCACTCAAACTCGGTAGGGGTACGGACGGCAGGATCAGAACACTTATGGTAGGGAGCAGGATAAAATTCACAACTCCTGTCTCCGTGTTTCTAGAGCACTCAAACTCGATAGGAGTACGGATGGCACGATAGGAACACTAATGGTGGGAAGCAGGACCAGACCCCGCCCATAGTGGGCGGAGTTTGAGCGAAAATTCATAACTTCTGTCTCCGTGGACCTAGAACGTTCGAATTTGGTAGGAGTCATGGGAACAGGTTGGGAACACTCACTGTAGGTGGCAGGAAAGGCCACAGGGGCGGTGTTTGCGC